ATAATTTGTGTTCTACTGAAGAAACAAAGTCACCTACATCTTGGATGCCCTGGGGGTAAGCAGATGAACATCAAATTTTCATTTTTGGGTGAACTATCCCTTTAACGTCGGTCGGCGTGTGGCGTTATTTTAACGCGTGGTGGCGTCTGCCGTTAACTTATCGCCTATTTTTCCATTTGATCGCGTCATATCATTTGTTCGGTACAATTTATTCGGTCTTTTCACTTATTCGGTTTCGGTTGCCGAACATTCGGTGCATCCCTAGTCATTGTGTGTAAAACATTTCAAATGAGATGGATTGCATGTTATAGTGTGTCAGCTGTCAGTCATAGGTGAGTTTCAAATGAGTGTGAAGATGTCACTTGCAGCTCAAATTGTCCAGAAGTAGTTTAAACTCTAATGCGCAAAGTTTTGTACAACTACAACAAAGTAAACACTTCAGTACTCTCAGCTTTTGTACATTGATAATACATTCAACTTCTTTCTGGTGTACAAGATCAATGTTAATTGGCGCGATATGCTTGCGTGTTTTTTATTATTTATAATTTTTTTTATTTATCAAGTTATTTTCTGAAGTCATGAAACTAAGAATGTTTCCTCAGAATGACTTGTTCTCAAGTTTTCTGAAGTTTGGACTTTGTGCACACGAGATAAAGGCATGATAGTCATAATAGGAAACACCCAGCAAATTCCCAGATCCCAGCAGATCATATATACTAAACACTTTAATGCATCCTTTTTTAAAAAGTATATAAATATTATTTACATAATTAGTAATGGTCATAGCCCTGTATCTATGTATATGAACAGTCATGAACAAAGCAATATAGTAGCTTGAAGTTTAATCTGGTTTGTAATTTTAATTTTAAAGCTGTATGATTGGAGGAAAGAGAGAGGCATTTTGTACAGCATGTATTTGAACGTACATTAAAAAATAAAAACAGACACTGAAAGACCAATAGGGCAGCATGCTCTTACAACATAGCAGTGCTTTAGCACTTACAATAGAGGATAAACTCTTACATGACAATGAAAATAAAATGATTTTTACCAAGTGGTAAAATAATTACATGTACATTTATTAAAAATAACAAGTGTAAACTTAATTGTAGCCTACCTTCCATGCAGTGCGTCTGGTTTTTAAAGAATTTTAAATAATAAATTCAGCAGAGCTTAATTAAGTCCCATGCTCTCGTCTCCCAAATTGCAATAAGCTTTCAGTTGTTCAATCTTGCAATATACAAACCAGAAATTACAGTCAATTTGTGATTTATCTGTGCAGAGACAAAGGCTGACAGTCATTACATGTAGAGTTAATCTTGGTCTTTTATGATGCAACGCCTATTATGGTTTTCATATAACTATTATAATAATAGTCTAAATCTCTGCTTTATGAAAACAAAAGACTGTAGGAAATATTCTTCACATTTTAGGACCAGCTGCAGCAGTGCTCCTTTTGTTAGATCAGTACTGACATTCAACCGATATAAATGTCCTATAAAGAAACTTTAAATGAAAACATATACAAAGAGTCAATGAACATATCAATAGTGTCTTCTCCCATATTTCCTTACAAAGAATGTATATTCACACAGTATGCTCACTGTACAGAGACTAGCTGTGCTTGGCAACAGTATGAGGAAGCTTGTCCTCTTAAATTCTACAACCCGTACAATGCACAGTCAGGAGGGTAAAGGCCTGCATTAAAGCACTAACACTTCAGTAAAGAGAGAGTCTTACGGTAAATAAATAAAACATAATCTGCCAAATCACAAATAGTCATACACAGATTAGAAATATCTACATATTTATCTTAACACAGGCGTTTGCAATGGTGGACTCTCTTAAGGCAGCTAGTATTGTGTATACTTTAAATGAAGTGAGGATGAACGATGAGGTGCATATATGGATTCTCTAACTTAACAGCTTTTCCTTATAAATCTTAAAACTGGATGACTTTGGGAACAAATCATCTACTATATCACAGAACATCCACGTTACCTATAACCTACTGAACTTTAAATACAATCTAAAGGATGATGAAACAGCTTTGCTTCAGTGCTGATAGTTTTAAACTTTGTATGTTAGTACAAAGACCAAGTGTGGTTCTGGAAAGTATTTTTAAAAGTTCTTAACTTAATAAACATAGATGGAATGAATTAGATGCTTTGGGATTATTTGGGAAATTCTCTGATACAATTTTTTTTTTGTCTTTTTAAGTATTAAGAGTCAAACAGGCCTTCTTACCTGCTTTCAGTGCAACAACCAAGCAAGCTACTCATTTACCTTCAAGTGATTTTTGAGCCAAGAGGTTTGGGATCTAAAAATATGTACCTTGTCATCTGGATAATAACCAGAGCGTATTTCAGCATGACTGTGCATAATAAAAATTTCCTTCAGATATGTGGTGATAAAGGAAACCGAACGAGGAGAAACATGCAGTTCTAGTCACGATGGGCCAGAACAGCGGACTGCTTTCAGTTCAAGCTTCCACTTTCCCGAAGGTGCCCTCCGGTGGTCTGTACTGTTTAGGGAAAGTCTTCAGCTGGAGGGAGTTGAAAGCGTATTTGCGGCTGCCTATGTTTTTCATGGTGTTTTCTCGCCTGCAGCCCTCGCTGTGGAACAGAGAGGTGATTGAGAGAAAGAAAAGGCCATTCACACACCAAAAACAATAACGACTATATTAGTGTCCACACCAACGCATGATATAGTTCTGTTTATTATAAGCACGCACTGCAGTTTGCCACTTTAAATGATCAAGTTGGGTGGATTCTGAATGGCTGTCAAATGTTTTTACTGTTCATCAGATAGAAAAAATATTTCGTTCCTCTGTTTTTAAAACTATATCTTCACAGAGTTTCTGTAGGTTTTATGAAGGTAAATGTAAGATTTTTAAGACCAAGTAAAAAAAAAAAAAGAAGGAATAAATTAAATTGAACACAATAAGACAATATGGCCTCTACATGTAAATGACTTGTAATAGCAACGCTTCAAAGCTTGAAAATATAACTTCCAATAGATCTCCATTACTTTTAAATTCATTTAACAAAAAGAAAGTAGATAGATAGATAGATGGATAACTTATAATGTACCTTCTGATCACACTACAAAAAAATTATTCTTGAAAAAATAAAATAATTTGTCTTGTTTTCCAGTACAAATGTCCAAGAATTCATAATTCAAGATACATTATTTGAGAAGCAAAATTACATAAGAAGTCTTGTTTTATGAGAAACTGATCAAAATGAAGTGAGTTTATGGTTAAGACAAGAACAAATATCTGCCAGTGGGCTTGGAAAAATCTACTTAATACAGAAAACAGGTTTTATATACCACTCACAGATATTTGTTCTTGTTTTAAGCATAAACACATTTAATTTGTTCAATTTCTCAGAAAACAAGACTTCATATCTTCAGTTGGCATCTCAAGTAAATGTACCTTGATTTAAAGATGTTTAGATAATGGTATTTGAAAAAAAAAAATCATTTTTTTGCAATTCATGTAACATTAAATGCCATGACTCTATGAATTTAAGATTTTTTTTGAAGTTCATGTAACATTAAATGCCTTGACTCTATGAATTTAAGATTTTGTGCTCCAATTTAGGACCTGTAAAGGCCTTAAATTGTGAAAACATGAATTAAGACTCGAGAGTAGTGTCACTATCATTATAGTTATCATGCTTGGTGTGAACGGTCCTTAATGTGTGAATGAATGATTCCTAACTGCAAATGTTGTCTCACCTGCGCATACAGTCCAAAGCCTGTGTGAAGACCTGCGGGGCCATGCAGTGCTCTTGCTGGAGGATTTGACATTGCTCCAGGGTCACCGACATGGCCGTACGATCCTTTGCACTCTTGCAGCTGGTCACACGCACACCATTCAGACGCCGACAAACCTGACATAACAAGTAAGAACGATTTCATCCTGGTAATGTACACTCAGACTATTTCTAGGAGTTCACTAGTGCCATGTAATCAGATCGTAGCTCTGAATTATGATTTCCCATGTTTCAGACACAAGAGAATGTAATATTAATGTTAGACCACTGTACCTCTGCTGCCTGCAACAGGATGTCCACATTCTTGCTCTTTCTGGCATTAACATTTTGACTGAGGAACTTGAGTAGCTCAGGCACATTGTTCTGACTGCGAGAGCGGGGCAGACCTACGGATAGAGTCATTCAACTGGTTAGGACTGACATAAACCATCTACTAACTGTCTTTCATGAGCAGTATAGGAGAGTGTTCAGGACTCACAGTCTTCAG